TGCCAGGCCCGCGGCGGGCCAAGGACGGGCAGGACGGGAGCGGCACAAACTCCGCCAGAGGGGCTGGGTTCGGTGGTGCGGGGGGTGGTTTCCGATTTTGAGCACGAACATACGATTAGATATGATGAAAGATAAAAACTAACACATATTTATTAAATGGTTTTACAAACAATTAATATAATAATTCCATGTTTACAAAATAGTAATCAGGCTAGGTAAAGTGCTGCAAAATATTTTAAATAAAGACATTTTGTAATTTTCCAGTTTCTGGTTACCTGGACAGGTGGTGTCTACAGACTGTTACGCCGCTTGTGTGCTGAGAACAGACGTGGAGACTACAGGGAATTTGTTCTGAAGGCTTAAACAGTCTGGGAAAAGTGCAAAATGAACAAAAAACAAGTAAAATGTGTATTTCTTCAAATCCTACTTTGGGTTAAAACTATTTACCCTCCTCTGCATAGAATAATTGTTTTTCACGAAGAAACTGAAGAATGGTAAGTAGGTGTGTAGCACGTACACATGAAAAGCCCTGTGTGCCGAAAATCGGTGCTTTAGGCTGGATCTGACACACCTCAGGCCACCCATCAAATGCGATCGCTCCGTCTGTCGCTCAGATGTACTAACGGAAGGGGAACGTCCCGAGTGCGAAGGCCTGAACCAGTCCCACAGACCCTGTCCTGACACCCCTTGTCTCCTCCCAGCAGGGGTCTGTGAAGCAGCCAGCACACACGAGGGAGGGCGAGCGCTTCAGCCACCAGCAGCAAAACCACACGGCAGCCCCCGCCTCCTGCCAGGCAAAAGCACGCCAGGTACCGATCCCACGGGCGAGAGCACACTCCATGTTACCCCACAGCACTCGCCCACACTCTGACCCACGCCCTCTACGCTGCCTCTACTGCCTTTTGACTGGAAAGCAGGCTTTCTGCGGAATAAATGCATGTTTCAGAGCTATGTGCTACCTAACACTCGCTTGCCTTTCTTCCTGCCCACGTATTCAGCTTTGGAAGATGGGAAGGTGACGACGGTGCTTGGTAAGAAAGATGCTGTGGACCATGGTGACAGGAATTTTTCAGTAACTGCTATTTTGTGGCTGCTGCTAGAATACAGCAAAATGAAGGTTTCTTGAGGGATTTCTGACTGAAGGCAGTGTGGAAGGGATCTTGCAAAGGAGAGAAACGTTTTCTTCATGGTTTGCTGTCAAACTGCTGGCAGTGGAATGTATCGTGTCTGAGCAAAGTGTCTCTTACGTGTGGTTGTTTGGGAGGGAAGAGGTAATTTCCAGCATAAAATTAAGCATCTTTCCACTACCTGAGGAAGAATATTAAACGTTACAGAATTACCTCCTTCCCATTACACAGTATTTACGGGCTTGAATGTAATCTACTACCACGAGAACAGAAAAATAAAATTCTAAAGACACTCAAATAAGCAGTTATGCCCCTAAACTTTAATGGCTTGCTTGTTCAAGTTTTGCTTTGTTTTTCTTTCTAGACAAAAATAAATTGCAACTCGTATTGGAGAAAAGTCAATCTATTTTTCTATCTTGAAACCAGAAAATGGATCATTTACAAAAAGTCTGAGAAACTCCTCCGACTGCTTTTCCTTCTTGGTCTAATCTATTACTCCAGAAGAGTGCCCCTGCGTTACGTGCTTTTATAGCCACAAGTGTTCTTCAGAAAATAACAATAAAGTGCAGACTGTTATAATGCCACCGCTGACAGCCAGCTAGTTCGTCCGTCCCCTCAATCCGCTCCAGAAAAGCCTGTGAAGGACTGCTCCCTCCCTGCTGTCTCCCCCTGTCCTGTAGCCCAGTTCCCCTCCTGGCACCAGTACTCCTGTACAAGGAAACACACATTTGTTTGGGTGTCCTACAAAGTTTCATCAGCAACATGTAAGTTGTACTCTTCTAAGTGTATAGATTGTCCTAAACATGCAGCAAGGAAATGAGGCTTTTAACTCATCTGAAAAATTTAAATGGCCTTTAAACTTACCGATTCCCCAGCAAAAGCTTCTTTTTATTTTTCCTTTTTTTTTTTTTTTCAAAAGGGAAGGACAGGCTGGGGGGAAGCTAAAAAGGAAACTTAGCAACCAACGCCGTGGAAGTGATGTGGCTGTGGTTTTCTAACCCTTTCCAGAAACTCGCTTTTAATGTCAATAATTTCAAAAGCTGCATCTTGTGGGATCTATATTCAGCATCCACTTAACTTTGTAATGGATTTGATAATGAAGGCACAGGCTCACTTTTTTACTGGTAAAGGACAGCAAACACGATCAATAGGCATTACTGACACAAAAGCACAAGCAACGATAAAGCCAGTGTCAAAAATTCCCAGCATCTTTCCTTTTGCTACACTCTTTTTGGCCATCTGCCTATTTTTTCAACTTAAAAGGAAAAAAAATAAAATGGAGTTAACTTTAAATGCAGGTTTACCTACACACATATGTTATCGGAAGATTTTTATAATATGTTGCTGTACTTTCTGAGGGTCCTAGATGACAGTATTCACCTCTTCAAATGCCAGCAAATGGAAATCACTTCAGTAGTAGTAGCAGCTGACATGGTCCCTCAACTTTGCTAACGGTTTACATCACATTAAAAAAAACTAGCTTTACTTCTTCCTATTTCTTTGATTACTATTGCTTGGTATTCAATTTTGTCGCAGGTGAACAAAAAAGCCCTAGAAGTTAAACAAGTTACCTGCTTAAGATCCCATGCCACTCACTCAGCATGTGTGGAGTTTAAACTGGCAAATAATTTAAACAAGTTCTTTTTTGTTTGTTTTAAATTACACGCCAAGAAGATTCTGAGTGTCTTCTATAGCAAATGAGCTCACCAAATACTTTTAAGTATCTTAAAATACTCAACTTGCAACATAACTTGTGTTGCAAGTGATGGCAGCTGTCCTGGGAAAAAAAAAAACAAAACCCACAGAATCTTGAACTAAGGAAGTGGCACCTAAAAAAGCCTTTTTTTTTTTTTTTTTTTTAACCTCTAACCTCTATTCCAAACAATAACTACTCTCACCTGCTTCCAAAAAGGTTGCTTGGTTTACATGATACTAACTCTTAAATATAAAAATGTGTTGGCTGACTTTACATGGCAGTACTGCCAAGGACCAGACTCTATCAAGGACCACAGCAGGTGGTCAGTCAAACAGCATGCCACTTTACAACTCTACAAGCCTAAAACAGCAAAAAACTTGGAAATGCATCACCATATCCAAAATAATTCAAAGGTTTTAAGCATGAAATCAAGTTCTTTGATAGTGTTGCACACATATTTAAACTAGAGTTGTGCTGGTTAATGTGTGTCATATATAGTAGATGCTCTATGCACAGTGCTAACTGCAGGGACTCATACTTTTCGGTATGATGGAAGGAGGCGAGATTTAGTTAATCTCATTGCAATCCTCATAACTCACCCTCGCTGTGTGAATCATTAACTGTCTTATATGGTTGGCAACCAAGAGCAAATAAACTGCCGATGTCAAAAATTTGGCTCAGGACCCCAGAATACATGATTGGCAAAAAGATAAAAAAACCCTCTCCCCCAACTCTGTTGAACAACTGACCTCCAGCAGCCATCTGCAACCAAACAGTGGATAGATAATTCATTTCCATGCTATTACATTGAGGTATAACTACCAGAAACATTAAACTATCAGTATCAGCTGGTATTTATCCAGTTAATCCACTCTGCATAAGGGAAATTATTACAACACATCTAAAGTGATAGTTAAAGCTTACAGCTCAGAATTTTCTTTTTTCTTTTTTTTTGCATTTGATTTTTTTCTGTGTTTTATGTTTAATTTCTTCTATGTTACCAGCTGCAATTTCCAGGTTAATGATTTCCAAGCAGATTTGAAAGGAAGCCCGAAGATTTTTTCTTTTCCTGGGATTCTGCTTCTTGGCCTTGTGAAAGTCCCAATTCTTTCTCAATCTGCTCAAGCTCAGATTGGTCAAGCAGTTCAAAATCGTCGGCTTCCTCTGTGTCTGTCTCCTCGCTCAAACTGGGCACTGCGTGTGAGGGAGCTTGCTGGGCGGACTGCAACTGGTCTTTGATGGCAGCAGACACCGCGGCTGCAATGACATCCCCAGCAATTCCACTCATTAAATTAAAGGTTTGGTCACTGCCCAAAGGCAAGGAAAGCCCTGCAGTGGATGGTCTCTCTTTACTCTGTTTGGAAGCATGATCCACCTTGAAATATGTTTGTTCTTTTTTTCTTTGTTGCTGGATGGGCATACCAATGCTCGAGTCATCGTCATCATTTGTTCCGGCACCATTTTCTAGAGAAGGAAATTCTGAAAGATCTCTAGCAAAAGCTTCTTCATGGTCACTAGGTCGGTCAAAATCTATTACAGGGTTAGCAGAAGGAAACAGTGTTAGCAAACATGAAAGGCTTCGCAAAAAAAGCAGCTAAATGTAAAAATGCAATTAGTAAGTGTTCCTTTGAATACATTTACTAATCCATGGTTTAGTAGTCTTCTGTAGTCTCAATGCAGGGAGCTTTGTGTGACATCTAAAATGAAATGGTTTATGCGGTCGTAAATCTGGTACCACAAATCACCTGGTATCAACCTAACTCAGAAAGTTATTTGAGGAAAGTATCTTTTTAAAATGGTATCTAGCTGTGTATGAAACAATCCATGCAAATCTTTAGCACAGCTAGTTCTAAATACACCAACCACATGAAGCCCTAAAATTTATAACCCAATGACAGGTCTCTCATCTCTTTTTCTTCACAACATATATAAATTGCAAATATGTAAACATTTACAAATGTATTACAAGCTTTTAACACGCTCGTAGAATAAAAAAAGAGAATATTTACATTTTAAAATAAAGATATAAAAGCAATGTAAAGACTTAATTTCTAACCTTTTCCTTTCCTGGCCAATGCTTGTATTAAATAGGAAACAGAAAATGGAAATTCTAGAGATGACTGGGTTTGTTTCATGTTTTCAAGAGGATAAAAAGCAGAATGTAAACAAATAAAATATTAGATTTCAATGGCTGCATCAATGAGACAATATTTGTTATTAGAAATGTGTAGAACATACTGTACAGTACATGGCCTGTGGAAGAGGCCTAAATGAGCAGCATAAGGGAATACGTATATCTAGTATTTGAATGAGAAGGTAAAAAATAATCAGTTTGAACTTACTTTCTATGAAAACACGCAATAGGAGCATTCATAAGGGCTAAGGAAATGAATCCTAAAATGTCTCATACATCATTTTCTCCATTTTCTTTAGGAAAAACAGGCTGGGAAGGAGAGGAGGAAGGGTTGTGCTGTATGCAGAGTGGTGGCTCAAATGCACAGAGCTGTGACAGGAGGTGAGCCAGTCCTCAGATGCATCCCATCTGGTCTTGCACTTGTGTGTATGTCCCATTTGCTGAAATGCTCCGTAGGGGAGAAGAGTGGATGTGGTTTATTTTTCACTTAGCAAGGCCTTTAACACAGTTTCCCACATTATCCTTATGGCCAAACTGGTGAGTGAACTGGGTCAGTAAACTGCAAGGTGGGTGGAAAATTGACCAGACTGCCGGGGTCAAAGGTCTGTGATCAGTGATACAAAGTCCAACTGGGGGCCAGTTATTAGTGGTGTGTCTCAAAGCTATTGAAACCAACACCGGTTCAACGTTTTTATTAATGGCTTGGATGACAGGATGGAGTGTGCACTCAGCAAGTTCACAGGCATAAAGGAACTGCTGTGGGGCAGGTGTATTTGATATTCCGGAGCGCAGGGCGCCCTCAGAGGGACCTCAACAGGCTGGAGGAATGAACAGGCTGTAAAGGAACACCACGAACAAAAGCAAATGTGAGGCCCTGCATCTGGGATGGAGTAACCTGTGCAGCAGTACAGGTTTGGGGCAACGAGACAGAAACCAGCTTTCAAAAAAAAGACCTGTGGACAGCAAGTCAGTGGTATGCCCTTGCAGTAAGGAAGGCCACATACTGAGCCATACTAGCAAAAACAAAGTCAGAAAGTCAATGGAAAGGATTCTCCCCCTCTGTTCAGCACCTGAGAGCACACATTTGGAGTACTTTGTCCTGTTTTGACCTCTCCAGTACCAGACAGACAATGAAAGACTGGACTGAGTGCCCTGGAGAGCCAGCATGATTAGGGGCTGAAGAACAGGACACATGAGGAGATGCTGAGAGAATGAGCTTTGTTCTGCCTTAAGAGAAGGCAGAAAATGGGGATCACATAGTTGTCTTTAACTACCTAATGGGAAGGTATAGAGAAGATGGGGCCTGACCCTTCTTAAAGGTGCAGAACAGAAGGATAAGAGTTAACTGACACAAGCTGGAACATGGGAAGTTTGACTCACTATAAGAAAAAACTTTTTCATCATGTGGGTGATCAAACATTGAAAAAGGCTGCCCAGGCAGGTTGCTGTATCGCTACCACTGGAGATGCTCAGAATTCAAATGGTCACAGCCCTGACAACTTGATATTGAACCTGCTTTGAATAGGAGGTTAGATGAGATGAACAACAATGGCTCATTCCAACTTACAATTCTGTGATCGTACAATGCTGTCTAATTACAACTTGAAATAGTAACAAAATAATTTAAATTATTAATTTGGCCTGTATAATGTCATTCAGTAATATCACCCTACTTGTCATTTACAGTGAACTTTTGCTAGAAGAGGAGAAATGCAAGATGAGCAGAGCCACAAATCCACAGATAAGATTACACCAATTGTCTTTAGTCTTTAGATTCAGTCAAAGTGCTGAAAGCTTGGTCTGTAAAAGTAAGAACTTAAAGATCTGGTCAAGATCAAGATAAGTGCTTGAGAATCTTTTCCTAGTCTTAGTCTTCACATCTAGTTTAGGCTTATAGCTGGCTGTCTTTATTAGCATTCCAGTAACAAAACCTAGTAATACTTTCTTTAACTGGCTGTTTAGCAATTCAAAGTACTCATTTTTTCTTCCTCACCTTTTATCTGTATAGCTTACCCACAAAAGCATTGGTCCTCGTAACTTAAAAGGTTTACTTGCTTAAAAGGTTTGGCAGAATCACAGAATGTAACACTGGAATTAATTTTGAAATTCATTG